CCGCAGCCGCTGCACTGGTGCGGCCGGTCGCTGGCGTGGGTGCGGCGGTGTTGGAGGAGGTGGGAGCTCTGGCTGTAAGTCTCACCGCACTCGGGGCAACCAAAGGGCCGCTCACCGGTGTGCACCCGCCGGTGCCGCTCCAAGTGCGAAGCCCACGGGAAGCTCTTGCCGCAGTCAGCGCAGCCGAACGGCCTTTCCCGTGCTGGTCCTTTGCTGGCCACCCCACGGAGGGGTTTGGCGCAGTCCAGTTTGGGGACCGCAGTGGTTTTGGGCGTCTTGGAGCCGTCGTGCGGCACGGCTTTATCCGGACGTTTCGTTTTCCGCCTGTTGGAGCTGAGGGTCTTCTCCCTCTCCGGGCTGCGGGACGAACGGGCTTCGAGCCGCTCGCAGCTCTCCTCCGCTGCTCCTTCCTCCGCCGCTTTTTCCCTCACCAGCCCCTGTGCTGCTGGGGGGGCAGGCAGGAAAAAGAGGAAAAGGGGAGAGCGTGGCCTCGGCCAGAGCCCGGGGGGGCATTTAAATCGATAAAGCAGGAAGAAGACTCCCGTAAAAAACCTGCCCTGCCGCAGAGATGGAAGTGAGAGGCGATGGGAGACCCAATCCCAGTTTGAACTGGGAACGTGGAAAAGCTGAGTGCACCCCCCTGCCTGCATTTCCGATTAAAAACAAAAACATGCAGAGAGAGCGGTAACATTTTCCTGCAGAAAATTCAAGGAGAGGGCTGTGATTTGGCTAAACCCCCCTTGAAACCTGCCTGGATCCTTCTTCCCCTCTTCCCATCCTGCTCATGATCCCTTTGCAGAGGGGGGGAGATAAAAAAAGAGCAAAGAAAAAAGGGAAGCAATGTTCAAGAAGGAAAGAGGATTTTTTTTTTTTCCTGTTTTCTTACCAAGTGACATCAGGGTTTCGTAGCTCTCCTGCATCACGTCCCGGTACAGGGCTTTCTGCCGCGGGTCCAGCATCACCCATGGCTCCATGACGGGGAGAGGCACCAGCAGCCGGGAGAAGGAGGGTTTCTCCCTCCCTTCCTCGCTCAAAATCCTCTGTGGGGAAGAGAAGATCCCTTGAAAAGAAGGAAAACCTCTGCGTGGTGCTTCTGGCTTGGGTCTGCATGCTTTTGGGGGGGGCCTTGGGAAAAGGAGGGGTTTTTCTCCCCAGGTTGCAGCACGTGGGTGGTCCCTCCACCCAGGGCTGAGCCCCAGCCTGCACGGAGCAGCTTGGGGATGGGGGTCAGGAGGGGACGGGGGGCAGGAGGATCCCTGTTTCCCACCCCCCAGTTTTCTGGCAGACCACATCTAGCGGCAATCCCTGCCTTCCTCCCACCTGCATCCCAGTTCCCGCAGTCCTCGTCTCACTGGGAATCAGCCCCGACCCAGGGTGACAGGGATTTGGGGGGACGTGTCCCATCCCTTTGGATTCGTACAGGGACCGGCGCCCCCTCTCCATCCTCCTTGGCCACTGTCCTCTCCCCAGAGGATGCTCCTGGGAACATTCCCAAGGGCCGGATCCTGCAAGCTCCAGCCCGGAGGGAGCTCGGGACCCGCTGCGGGGCAGGAGCCCATCCCGACTCAGGGTTTCTCCCCGTTACCTGAAGTCCTCGGGCTCAGGACTCGCCGTCGGCCGAGCCTGGAGCTGCCTCCGTGGGACTTTCCCTGGGAGAAGCGTCCCCCGTTCCCACGCTGAAGCTCCAGGGACAGGGGGGAGGCGCAGACCCCCCGCTTTGCACCCCAAGGACCACCGAGCCTTCCGACAGCAGGGCACAATGGAGGCGACGCCGGGCATGGCTTCGCTCCGGAAGACCACGACGGTATCCGGGAGAGAGGAGACGCCAAGAATAGGCTGCTCGGCTGCAGCGTTTACCCAGAGCCCTCTAGAGGTAACCCAACCCTGGCTTCCCCCCCATCCCCACGCTCCCCGGCACTCACGGGGGGGGACCCATGGGACCCCGACCGTCCTCCCCCATCACCCCCATGTTCTTCCCTTTTACCCAGCGGTTTTGGAGACCCCCAGCCTCGCTAAAAACCCGAGGGGTCGTGACAGCAGCAGCGGGGATATTGGAGTATCGCAACCGTGGGAAGGTGGTGGGGGTCTCTCTGGGGCCATACGGCATCCCCGGGGTGGGAAAGGGGGACACGGGGCTGGTTGCCTCATCAGCATCAGGGATGGGAGCTGTGCAAGCAAGAAATTAGGTTTTCTACCCGGAAAAGTGGCCCCAAACCATGTGTTCATCGCGTGGCCAGTTGTCCACGCAAAGCTCCAGGCTCAAGAGTAATGCGCTTGCGGGTGGGAAGAAGGGGGGATTTCCACTTACCAAGTTCTCCCTCCTTGGTTGCTGGAGGAGGAGATCCTGAAAGCCAAGGAAAACCCAACTCTGTGAATAAGAGGGTGAAGAAATGCAGCCGGGGAAGGAGAGGAGAGCCAGGACTGGATGGGGTGCATGGGGTTATGCCACAAGAGGGCATGGGGAGACCAGAGTTGCTCCCAGGACCTGGCTCTTCCCTGGTGATCCGAGCAGCAGATCTGCTCCCGAGAAGGTGGAAAAGGTCGGACGAGGCTGGACAAGGGCTGGCCAAGCCCTCTCTTGTGTCCCGAGGAAAAAAAAACTCTCAGGAGCAAAGGTTGTACTGCTTCCCTTGCCCAAACGCCCATGGAAAGGACACTGCCTGGATTTGTCCAGGTTTTTTTTCCCTAGGGAACAGCTCAGCACCTCCTTCTCCCTCCGTTGGCTCCAGAAGAGCATTCCCATGGCTGCCAAAAGGGACCGAGAAGGACACGGCCACAGCCGAACCAGCACAGCTGAGGAAGGGTCTCACCTTCGGGATGGGCAAATGAGCTGAAACATTGGTGCCAGGTAGCTTCTGCCCAGTAGAAGAGGTGGACCCCAGCTCCCCAGGACTCACACACACAAAGCTCTTCTCTATCAACTGTCTCACAAGTGAGGAACTGGCTTAAATAACCTGGAAAGCACCTGGGACAAAAGCAAAACACCTGGGGCTTCTACCCAGGCCTTAAGACACCCACCCTGAGCTTGGTATCTTCTGGGAGACGGGGTCCCAGAACCTCCCCTGGTCCCTTGGGAGATGTGGCCTCCAGATGCACATTAGGGGGGAACTCTTAGCCCATGGGAAACAAAGGCAGAAGCTCTGCTTTTGGGTTACAGAGGGCTTGAAGAGCTGGGGCTTGAAGCTGAACTTCAGCCCAAGCTTCTCCTTCTGGCCAATGGTCAGTGTTTGGGCCTGGGCTGAAGGTGGAGCTCACATGAGCTTTCTTTATTCTTGGCTTTCCCCCACCCTGCTTCTTCAGTGGGTTCCCTTTTCCATCCCAGCCAGGGACTGGCTCTTCAGGATCTATTTCTTTTTTCTCTGCAGGGCATGGGATGGTGAGTAGGGTGGGGGACGGTGCCGCACAAGCAGACCCAGGCATCAAGACCTGCCTGGAGGACATCTCCCAGCGTCACGAGCCAGCCAACATCCACCAGCGCTCCAGAGAGAAAGGCCAAGAAAAGGTCCAGGGTCATCCTGGGAGGGAAACGCCAGGGACACGCAGGGAATTGCTGTTCCCCCATAGCCTTTACCCCAGGGGTAGACCCACCCCTCATCCCACCAGTGAGAGGAGCTTCCGTCCGAGGGTCACAGCACCCCTGCCCTGACTGTGGGAAAAGCTTCGGGGTCTTCTCCAACTTGCTCTGTCACCAGCGGAGCCACGGTTGGGACAAGCCCTGCAAATGCCATGGATGTGGGAAGGGTTTCAGGTGCTGGTGACACACCACTGCATCCACACGGGCCCTCCAAATTACCTCCTACAAGGGCACGTGGGTCCTGGGGTACTGGTGGGACACCAGGTTTGGTTTTTACAGGAATGACTTTGAATCAGGCAGGTGAGAAGGACTCTGAGTTTATTCCTTTTTATCTCTTTTCCTCTCCCAGGCATGAAATGAGGGAGACAAGGAAAGATACCCATGGTAAGAAGACAGGCCCTTGTTCCTCGGTCCATGCAAGCAGATCTGCTGGGGATGGAGGAGGCAAATCACACTTCACCTTTCATAACCTCGTCCACAGCAGCCTGGAACTCTGAGGTACCGATGAAGGAACCCCAGCGTTGCCTCCTCTGGCGGTCGGCCTCGGTGACCAACCGCTCGCAAAGGTCGCCGATGGAGACATTCAGCAGCTCCTTTGCCTCCACCGACATGCGCCTGGTTGGTGGTGGCAGCTGGCTCAGCAGCGTGGAGATGTACCTGTTGCATGACCCCTTCTTCAACCAGCTGCTCGATCCCTTCGGAGCTCCTTTCCACCGTCCATCTTGAGCCGGAGACCTTCTCCACTTCAGCGGATGCTTTGTCCACTGGACTTTCTGCTTCCTCCTCCTCCTCGTCGGGGTTTTATCTCTTCTCTTGGCTGTGGCCATGGGGTCTTCTTCAGACTCAGCGCCTCTCCTTGTCATAGTGTCCCACCAGAACCACGTAGATGAATGTATTCAAATGAGGCGTTGATGAGGCAGCCCAGGATTGGCCGGCTGCAACAAAGCCTTTATGAGGCAGCTCTTTGTCATCCAAAATTTGCATAATGATTTTTTTTTTTTGCCTGAAAAGCGTGGAATTAGACCGAAAGAACATACCCCAATGAAAATACCCAAATGTTTTCTCCAAAAACGCCTTTCCTGCTGCGTTCCCTTGCAAAACAAAAACCAGAAACGCCTCATTTTCCATTCTTTCTAGCTTAATTATCACCCTGGCTTAACGAAGGCGCATGGCCACCGTGCAGCGGGAAGGCTTCCAGAAAGAGCTGGAGCTAAACCTGGGAAATTTTGGAGAAACATCGGAAAATTTTGGAGAAACATCAGAAAAAGGCCTTCAATGGCCCCTGCTGGGTCTCGCAAAGTGATAACGGTGACTTCCTTGCAAATAATAAGGAGAAAAGCGATCAATTTGGCTACAGAATAAAAATAGAAAGTAAAATTGAGTTGGTGTTAAATTAAATCAGGGGGTTTTACCAGCCCCGTGAGTGTGTGAACGTGCCTCTTATTTTCCACTTTTCTCCTATTTTTTCTTTAAAATGAGGGCCAAATATGCACCCAGGTGTGTTTCCGTGTAAAAAAAAA